TATTGTCGCGTCGCGCATAATGTGTCGCAGCTTGCATGTAATTTTCTAGATTTTGCACCCGCCGCGGCTGACATACCCGCACACTAAACAACAAAATGCAAATGCAAATAACGAGAATAAACAAAATAATAAAAATAAAAACTAAGATCAACGTACTGGGAAAGAAAAAACTAACAATTCTCAACACAGACATGTTGATTATTGGTGAAGTTTTGGTGAATCTTGGTGAAGCTGTTAGATTATTGTTGAATTTAGTATTGTAATTTTAGTAAAATTTAATAAAAATCTTAAGAAAAATAAAAAAAAATTATTAATTGAGGTACATTAAATGCACATATTTTTTAAGATTGTTGAACATTTAAAAAAATGCAAATAAAACAAGAAAAGATACTTACTTCTGTAACCCGAAGTTTATATACAACTGCAGTTTTCAATTAAAATATAGAATAGAATTTGAAATGTATCATAACTAAGCTTAAAATTTAGAAATTCTTTTAATCGTTTTTTATCACAAATTTTATATGACAATTTTTCGACAAACCAAATTTTATAAATATCATAACTAAGCCGAAATAACATAAATTTCAATTTGGAGAGCTTTCCTATGTTAGTTTTTCTTAGGTTTATAAATCTGCATATTTAATTTATAATTATAAAAATTTCAAATTTTTGTCCATTTAAACATTTTAACGATCTAACCCCTTATCAAATATCAAAAATATCAAAAAATTTATATTTTAATCCTATATAGTTAGATCGATTCGGCTTTTAGTGCTGATCAAGAATATATATGATTTTTAGGGTAGGAAAGAAGGAGTCATTTCTTTAAGCTTTTTAAGTTTTTGACTAAAATTATGATACCCTGCAATGGTAATAATTATTGTGAATGGATAAACGTTAAACATTTCTATATACAAATTATGGATACTTATAAACATGCTCCAATTATAGCTTCTCCCAAAAAGTATTCAATATTATTCAAACATATTTTTAAAGTTTATTCATGACCAAAAACACTATTTGCTCTTCAGCTTAGTGTTTTTATTTCGTCCCAACTCTGGCCAAGTGCATTTCATTTAATTTCTATATTGTTATTTTCTATTTTTATTTTTTTTATCGTATTCTCTAGTGAGTAGGCCGCACCCATTGATCCGATCCCCACGATCCGTTCGGCAATCGAACTGTAGAGCAAGTCAAACATGGAACAATCGGTCAGCGACAATGAAAATGCCAAGTGCGCGAGTACGAGTAGCTTTTTGCCGCCGCTGAGGCTTTCCTAGGTTATTATTTTTTGTTGTTTTGTTTAGTTTTATTTTTATTTTTTCTTGTTGTGTTTGGGTTTTTGTGTACAAGTATTTTCTATTTATTTAACTGGCGGTGGCAGCAGCAGCAGCAGCAGACTTGAGGCGGGCCAACAAACCGCATGCCCGGTCGCTTTACAGGCTTCTTTTTACCACGGAAAAGGGGGCGGGCCACGGAGGCTTTTCCAGACGAGACGGGACGCCAATGAAGCGAGAAAAATTACTGTTTGTAAAGTGAGTTTGTCAACATGAGGCGTGTGCATCGCCAGAACCAGACAAAGGCCAGATACAGATACAGATACATATGCAGCTACAGATACGAATGGAAATACAGAGATACAAACAAGTATCATTAACGCAATGCCCAAACCGTTAGAGGAGGCATTCGAGCTGCAGTTGGTGGCATCTTTACCTGGAAGCCGACTCCAAAAACTCCATAAATCCAAGTATTTTTCTGCAGAACTTTTGGTTCGCTTGGCTTGGAATTACGGGTGGAGTGGAGTAGGAGGTGGCACTCAGCCGGAGGAGAGATCACGCGGGGACATGGGCAATGTAATTGAATACCTGGCATACTCACCTCCACTTCAAGCATGTTTACATTGGCATACCCTCGATGGGATTATGCATGTTTGTTGCCACTTGATGGAGGCATTTGTTGGGTATTATATTGAATTAGCTAAGCTAAAGATATGACCTGTCAATATATTATATAAAGTAGGTTTTCTAACTTTCACATTACTCAGTTTTTTGCACTTTATTTACTTTAATGTTTCCTACAGTATTTCCCATTCTATAAACAATTTTCTTCGAGTTCCTGACTCTTTTTGGGTTCTGTTTTGTCTAGGTCTCACATTTATGGCCTGTTGTCCTGGCTAAAAATGGCACTGGAACCCATCATAGACGGCGGCCAAGAAAGCCCAGGCCAAGGCTACTCTGGACAAGGTCCGCCAGCATTGTCAGCAATTACTCATTTATGGCCTGTCCGGCATTTCTCGCTCTTGGCTTCTGTTCCAGCCCGGTATCTTCAGATACCACAGATACCACAGAGAGCGAAAATCAGAGAAACTTTACTTGATTTTCCCCGGTTAATTTCTATGTATAAATCTTAAACCTACAGATCATTTCTTACTGTGCACCTATTGATTTATGCATTCAACTTGGTTGGTGCTTGGTGGAGTGCAGTTTTTCATAAAAATGTCCAAGGATCCTGGCCGGTTATTGCCTTTGGCCTGCTGCTTCTATTTATAAAGATTACGTGTAATTAAAATCGAATGGTTTTGCAGAGCCACGTCTCGTTACGCCTGTCACCTGACCGTTACGAAGCTCCACCAGAAGTTTGCAAAAGTATGAGTATCTTGTTCCGATCTCGTTTACTGGGTGGCACAACAGGTTGAATCTGAAAGATACTCGCTCAGTGACATCATATAATTGGAGCGTTTTCTTCGAGGAATATTGATTGGATTATAATGGGCAAAAAATGTGGCTAACTGCGACTGCCAGAAGGAATATCAATACCAGTTCTCAAAGGAAACACCCAGTATCTATATCTAAAGGATCCCCTTTTCTCTATACCATTTTAAATGGATTCCAATCTCATGCCTGTGGAACTGTTCGCCCTTGCTTCACTTAAACCCAGAACTGTTCTCTCTGATCCGGGCTAATCAGGGGCCATTAAATGCCTCATTATCGCCATTGAATGATAGCGAGACGGATGACCTTTGACACACACCCAGAATCTCGCTCGCAGCAACAGTTTGCCCAGCGATAACAGCAAATTGAATTTTGAAGAAAAAAAAACGAGTAATCATCACATTTCGAGAGTCTATTTAAATAGGGCATTAAAATATCATTGCTTGTGCCCGATTCCATTGGAGGATTATCAGTGCCGGGCTAAGGCATGACCCCCTAAATATAACCAATGCAGGCGCTGATTGGTGTTATATTAAAATTATTTTTTTTAGAATAAAATAGGAATCTTTATGTGCCATTTGACACAGTTGGACAGGCACTGGCAGTGGCACTGGTCTCTCACTTATGCAATCATCACTATCAGGCATCAGTCTTTAAGACAGTGTTGCCCCTAATCTTGTCCAGCCTCCTTCTCCTTCTCCTCTGTCCCTAAACTGAGGGCATGTTTGAAGCGCATGAATCCCGTCGAGAAATGAGATGAAGTGTATTCTTGAACCTTAATGAACTTTGGGCTAGAAAATGCAATTAATACTTTGACTAGGAAAAAATACTTTTAATTATATTGGGAGTACATATAATGAATGATTGGTGATTATTTCAAGTCATTTATGTGGAAATCATATGAAAATGGTATGATTTTTGGTAATTTATGGTTGACTTAATTTAAATTATTCATATATATTTATTCGGAATAATGATACCCTCAATGTTAAGAGGTTACTTTGCTTAGATAAATATATTTTTAGAATAAAACTTTAATCCAGTTTTCATGGTTTATTGTTTATTGGATTAACTTTTTGTTAACGTATTTTATATATTTATTTTATGCCCATATATTTCAGTTTCCAGGAACTCTTTGTTATTGATCCGTTGAAACAATAAACTTAATTCTGTTTTTTGCATTTTAACTTTTATTTTGTAACACTCTGGCATTTAGCTGAGGAAACAATTTGAACCGAGAAATTGCGGCATGGCAAAATGTTTTCCTTTTTTTGTTTTTTGTATTTTTTTGTCCTCTTAAATGGCGCTCCCAAAACTATTTTTGTTTGTCCGTCTAGCTGTCCGTCCGGATTCGTTTGTGTCCACCTCTGTCTAGCCGTCAGTTTGCGGTGCGCCTTTAGTTTTAGCATTTACTTCTAGCATAGCTGGCATTTTTTGTAGCAATTCGTGTCTATATGGTTTGTTTTCCGACGCGTCGTTCTCCTTTTATTTTTCCTATTTTTTGTTATTTTATTTTTTATTTCTTATTGCGCATTCTATATTCTATTCGATGGTGCTCTCTTTGTTATAAGTCCGGGGTCCGTAAATGCCGCGTGCTCATCACTCGCAGACACTTTAGAATGCAGCCAGTGTATCTGTGAGATGTGCGCGCACACAGACACCACGCAGATAGACGGATGGCATCGGCAATGTATCTGACGGATTGCAGGGCTGATTGGTTAAGGGAATGTGGGGGAGGCTCATAGTTTCCACCTACTAACATACTTGGCTATTGGCTTCATTAAAGACGCCATTTTTTCTGGTTTCTTATTTGGCTTAAGTTGTAGTAGCATTTTACATTAAATTGTTTACTTTAAGGGAATTTTTTGCTTTGTAACACTTTTAATAATGTTGTTACTTGTTTAATTAAACAGTATCCTCCTTTATTTGCATTTTCGTTCACCTTTGGTGGCTTCAACTTAGGCAATTCTTCGGTTTCTAAGGAAAACAAATTTTTATGTGAAAAGTCATGCTTTACTTTAAAATTTGACAATATTTCAACTTAAAAAAATTTCAAGAAATTCTCTATACTTACTTAATAAATGGTATAAAATTCAAATTGCTAATTCCCAAGCGCTGTTCAGGAAAATTTATTACAAAATGGTCCAAAAAAGGGACGTCACTTGAGTCAATCTACTTGAGCAATACCCTCATCTGTCTACAACGGATACTTCTTAGCACCTATAAATTAAATTTGTATTACCTATATCTATTTAAAAATCACATTAATATTAATATACCAATATATATTATGCCAAGTCAACTGGGAACTACAATTCAATACCTAATTTAATAGATGTCATAATAAAACTCTTAATCAAAATGAAAGGATTGCTGCTTACGTACATGCTGTTCCTCCTCCTGCTGTTCCACTGCACCGACAGTCACGTCCTGGTCAAGGCAAGTCAAGCTTAATCGATCCTTAAGATCTTGAACTTATTTCCAAAACACAGAGATACGCACGCCAGCATAAACGTAAGGCTAAGCCACGAGACCTGTTGAACGATTTTGTGGCCATCCGAGAGGATGGAGGATTCGAGGCGGGTCCTTTAAACCATTTTCTTGATTCCGGAGAAGGCTGCAATTCTTGTGGTGACAGCAAGAAAACATCCAGCAACTGCGAAACGATAAAATGCAATGTCAAGGATGTGATGACACCCAACGATCCCAAGTCCAAGTCCTCAGCCATTGCCCAACAGGCTGCCCAGGATGCGAAGGCGGCGAGTGAGGCACAATCCGCTGCCGGATATGCTGCTGCCCAGCACATCAAGACGGAGCTGGCCGAGAAGGCTTTCCAGTCGGCCAAAGCCGCCGAGGCAGCTCTATTGGGCAAGGAGCTGATGGTTGAACAGCTGGAAAAGGAGACCCAGGAAGCGAATGCTGTTATCAAGGGTGAGACCATTGCCCTGCAGACCATCGAAGCGAATATGAATTCAGCTGTGGAGGCCACCAAAGCGGCCACCCAGCAGTTCGAGACCCTCAACGAGCTGGTGGAAAACTCCAAGACAAGCCTCTCCAGTATCCAGGCGGTGGCCTTTGGCTTGCAGCAGGAGATGGAAGCGAAGACGCAGCTCCTGCAGGCTGCACATAATCGATTGGCCACATTCCAGAAGCAGCTGAGCTGTGCCCACGAGGACTATGAGAAGACCAAGCAGGCGGCCTATAGGGCAGCCTGTGCCGCCGTGGAGGCCAAGCAAAAAGCTGCTGCAGCCCCGAGCACTCGTAATACGTAACTTATCCATAGAATATATATCTTAGCTAGTAACTCCTTTGATTTTTAAAAGGTTTAATGTTTATTTAACAAGTTTCTGCCAATAAAATTAATTATATTTCATTAAATTTTCAACTTAAACTTAAAAGTGAACTCTGGGTACCCACTGGGTACCATAAACATTAGATTTCGCGAGATCGACGGCAGGTGTTCCTGCTGTAAGATCGGATAACACCCTCATTGGAACCTATAAAAGCCTCTCAAAGGGGTTGAGAGCCATCAAAGTGTTTGCTCTCCTCCAGCTGAGATGAAGTGCCTCCTAATAGTATTCGCCTGGCTATCCAGCCTGTTCTTCTCCAGTGCCCTGGTGCACTTTAAGACTATGGAAAAGGGCTGTAAGTGGAGGAATCCTTTCTACCCATACCCTTAATTTAAATACTTACAATTCGTTTAGCAAACGGCTGTAAAATCAATGGCAAGGAAGTGGCTGTGGGAGAGTATTTGCAGGACGCGAATACTTGTGGTGCATATACTTGCCAGAATAAGGATGGAGATACTTTTATCCACTAGTAAGTCTTAGGAGCGATACAATAGTTTTAAAGTTTTGATAATAGATCCTGATTTCATTGCAGCTGTCAGATACCAGCTACCTTTGCGGAATGTCCTGAAACTGCTGTTGTAACCACAATTGATTTTCCACAATGCTGCTGGACCTGCGCCTCGTGGGGGAAATGTGGAGGAGGCAGTTCTGCGGGTGGCGGTGGTTCCCTCCAGCAGGTGGTGCCCTCCAGCCGATGGTGGTGCACCTCCAGCAGACGGTGGTGCTCCTCCAGCAGACGGTGGTGCACCTCCTGCAGATGGTGCTGCTCCTCCAGCAGATGGTGGTGCTCCTCCAGCAGGTGGTGGTGCACCTCCAGCAGACGGTGATGCACCTCCAGCAGACGGTGATGCACCTCCAGCAGACGGTGATGCACCTCCAGCAGAAGATGCTGCTCCTCCAGCAGAAGGCCGATCAAAACACAATAAGAACCCCTTCAAATCCAAAATCCATCAAATTTTCACGCCATTGTTTAAGAAACCCCAAAAACCCCCAACAATTGAACACAAATTATTGGAAAATATCAAAATCAAAGAGAGTACTCCCATTGCCAATTATCCCACTGTAAAGATTGAAGGAGTACTCCCATTACCAAACCCGTGGAAGAACCCATGATTAAAAGTCCCAGTGAGAAAGTGGCACAAATCTCTTTGAAGCCTCCCACAGAGAACAATCCCCAATCCCAACCCCAATCCCAACCCCAACCCCAACCCCAACCCGAACCCCAATCCAAACCCCAACCCGAACCCCAACCCCAACTCCAACCCCAACCCCAATCAAAGTAAATAAATATATTTATTGCATTATTATTATGACTTTTAAGTACGAATTGGTTTCAAGCTTAAATATATGTATGACAGAACATTATGCACTTCATTTATCTTCGCTTTAAACTGACCCACATACACACACGTCAGATCGGGAGTGATATCCTTGCCTGACTATATTTCTGGTTTTCACTCGATTCCGAGCGAGATGAACCCTTCTCTCTCACACTCTCTATAGGTTTTTTTAATTAGCCGCCGCCGGCGAGCAAATCTGACCGAAAAAAACAGGAAAGGGTTTCAGTTGCTGCTGCTGTTGCTCCTGGGTCCTTCAACCCGGCCTGAAAAAGATTGAAAAATTATAAAAAACGAAGATCTTGCGGAATACAAGAAAAATTGAAAACCAGATCTGACAAGAGTATGGGAATGGGAATGGGCATGGACATGGGCATGGGATTGGGATCGGGATCGGAATCGAGGACTGAAGCAGGTAGGCTCGTCTCGGCTCAATGTCTTCCCCCAAAACACTCCCCTCGAGTGAAAGAGATTCGGCATGATGTACATTAAACGGGAAAGACAAGAATAACCAAAAAAAATTCAAAAAAATAACCACTGAAATCCAGAAAAGAGCTTTTTTTACCAGACAATTTGTGTTTATTAGTGAGCGGATGCAGTTGACACCGAAAGACCCTTACTGAAAGGACCCTTACAAGTAGTACAAGTCCTTATTAGTCACAAAATAAATAATAGAGCTAGGGGAAAGATCAATATAGTCATACAAATTGTATTTTTAATAAGGGTTATGACAAAATTTGAGGATTAAAATTTTTTTTTTAATATCTGAATGGTAATAAATATAAACATTTAAATTCTTATTATTTAAATTTTTAAATTGTATAGTCGAAATTCACCTTATATTTAAATTAGGAAAATCAATTAAGTAATCAATATAATAACCAAAAACCCCTTTCATTTTAGATTTCATAAAACCAAAGATGGCGTATAACTGAGGAGAACGCTCGTTTCCGGCGTAGGGTACAGACTGCGCTGCCGACTGCGCTGCTCCTTTGCCGCACTCTTATTAATTGAGTGAACATGTCCATTTTTGGACAGCCCGCCAGAAGCGCGGGGAAATTACAATCCCAAAAAATAAGCAACAAGAAGAAATATCGAAAAAGAAAGCCCAAAACAGAGCACAATCAAAAGTAGCCTTATTAACAACAAAAAACAATAATAATAACAAATAAGCAAACACACAGGGGTGCCTTACGTCGTTTCCAGGAGCAACGTAACCGAGTGCGACGTAACGAAACCATGCGGTCGCAACATGTTTCATGTTCGTTGTGAGCGAGATGGCACTAGGATTAGGCGCAACAGGCCGGCAGTGAGTGCCAGCTGTGAGCGAGAGCGGGATGGCGCCAGCCGCTGTGGCTGGCTAATAGAAATGCGACAACAAATAGCACCGGGCAGTTGACTACAGGAGAGAGCGAGAGACGGCGAACAGCTGTGCAAGAGCATACACGTTCGAAGCGCCGCTGCTTTCGTCGACGTCGCAGCTGGGCTCGCGCGAATCGACTCCCAACGTTATTTTTACAGTCTTTACATTTTACAGTTGATCGTGTGCCTCGTGCGCCGGTGGACCTCAGAAATTCCAGAGAAGTGGAAAAAATGATTAGAGAGAAGTCAAAAGAAAAGAAACAACAGCAAACAGTAACTGTAAAAATAAGGCAAAACCCTTGAGGAAATCAAAAGTCAAGAGGAGCGGACGACAAGTGCAACGAAACTCGGTCAAGTGTTAAGAGAAATTCCAAATAAAAACCTAATGAATTCTAATTCGTGATCGGCGTCTATCTGTGTGCCCTGTGTGTGGCTGTGTGCAAGAGCTTAACTTTCCGATACTTTTGACACCTACCGACTTCCAGTTCGACGCGTGTTTCACACATTTCCAGCATCGCCACAATCGTAGGAGCGTTCACCCGAAAAAAAAAAACCAAAAAACAAAACCAGAATAAGTAAACGCGCGAATTATATCTTTTACACGTGTCTGCGACTTTGCTGATTCATAGATTCTTTTTTGGCTGCCAAAAATAAAGAATTAAAGACAATTTTCCACAATCGATTAACATTGGAATAATGTAGGCAGCGCCAAAAGCAAAACGTGTTAATGAAAACCAACGGCCAAAAAAAGAACGACGGGAATTCCTGTAAGCGTTAACGGAAGCTAAACTTCATGTCATGGTTTTATAATCGCCACTGGCAACCGGAAAACAAATGTAAGCTCAGGTAAAACACAGGTGTTAGTAAGGCTAGCCCAGGAAACACAGCAAAAAAGTTTTAAAAAATATTAAGAAAACGGAAGTATAAAAACTAGGACTTTTGAAGAATTTTGAAAACTTAAAACAATTCTTCTTAAATTTTCGTTTTATGGAAAAATTATAGATTGTGGATGAACTAATATTTCTCTAGTTAAAAGTATACAAGATTTTTCATGTTCAGTTTTGTTTCGCTTATTGACTTCGCTTCTGGTTAAATTTTTACAGTTCAACAATTCCCGAAAATGTAAAAGAAAAATCTCAAGCAATTCATAGTTTCACCAAAAAGTCTCAAGCCCCCTTTTTTTGTACGTACAAAGCTCAATTTCAATTTGATTAATCAATGAAAGCCACTAAAAGTACAACGAAAAGTACGAAAGAGGCGGGAAACCAAAGCAGCGGGACCGAAAAGCGCCCGAGGTAAAGGAGAAGTAGGAAGAGGAAAGAGAAGAGATGATGATGATGAAGAAGAAGAGGCTAATTGATAGTAGCAATAGTAGCAGCAGCGTTGCGGCAGAGAGCTGGCAGCGCAGCAACGCCCGAAGAAGGAAGCCGAGAAACCGTTACAATATGCGACAAAGGAATGTGTCACACTAACAAAAAAAAAAAAAATCAAATCACAAACGTAAACGTAACGGCGCGCAAGCCACGTCAGGCTTGATTCAAACATGTTCGAGGCAGCGCTGCCGACGCCGACTGAGAAACGATCACAGGCAGCGCTGCTGCTGTTGCCGGCGCTCGCAGCTTTCAATTTTAAAAAATTTTAAATCTTTTTTCAGTTCTCTTTTGGTGCTCGATCGTGACGGTTTATTTACCACAAATTATTAATATTCTTTAGCTTTTAAGGAGTGACTGCCGAAAAATGTGCCTACTCCAGGCAAACACACACACACACTCACAACCAGTCTCTCGACCGCGTTGCAAAGTGCTCGATTCCGGAACTAGCCCTCTCTCTTTCGCTGCCTCTGCGTGCCGGCCCGCGAGTGTATGTGTGTGCGGGCGTTATTGTGCATGTTTCCGGTGGTCGAAAAATAAGCCAAAAAACTGAAATCAAGAATAATAAAACACGATAAAAAGTGTCAAAGCAACTGGAACTTTGTATGCTTGCGTGCTTGTGTGTGTGTGCGCCTGAGTTTAGGTGCATCTCGCGTAACAATAATAATTGCATTTATCGGCTGGCGCCAGCTTCAATTTAATTATAAATAACATCAACAAAAGAGCACGCACACACACAACCGCTTGGAAAGTCAAAGTAGGCGTTTATAGCCGCCTCTCGCTCGCTCTCCCTGGGGCATCACGCGCGCCGGTACAAAGTTAAAGTTTGCTGGGCAACACACTCGCACACATTGCACTGAACTAATGGAGCCCGGCTTTGTTTTTGTGCTCAGAAAAAGACAGAAAACAGAGAGAGAGAGAGACAGAGAAAAAAAAAATCAATACTCGTTATGGGATTAAATTTACAAAGCTAAAAAAAATAACAAATGACACAAAAAACTATAACAACAAGCGGAAAAAGCATTAAAATAAACTCAACGCCACAGAATCTCTGCCTTATCGCCAATGTTCCAAGGTTCCTTGGAGAACTTTGAGCTTTCCATTAAGAAGAGATTATAAAAGATTATAAATTATTTAAAGTAAATACAAAATGAAGGCGTTTCCTGTGATACTTGCTGCTGCTATAAAGTCTGCAAGGACATCTGTTCACATCTTACCGGGCAGCATTAGATCTTTTTGAGATACCTCTAATACTGTCAGGTAAAGATGTCGTCCGTGTCCTTAACCATCTGTAATAAAACAACAACGAAAACAAAAAAAAAATGCCTCAAAATAATACCAAGAAAAACAAGTTTTTCAATTGTGCGTAAGCGTAAAGGCGATCGGAAGGAAGGAGAGGAGTGAAAACCGCGGGATGCGTACAAGCGGCTGAAAATTGGTCATAAATTCTTATTTTTTTGCAGCAGCCGAGCGACGCGTTTTTTGGGATGACATCAGTTAAAAAAATATATAAAAAAGAAAGAGAAAAAAACAAGAGGAGAGAGAGAGAGAGATCGTTCCCAATTCCCATTTTCAATTCCCGGACCCCGGCGGCGTGTCTGCAGGTAAACACTGTACAGTGTATATCTGAATAGAAGGAACTAAAAAAAGGGTTAACAAAGTTTGTGACAATTTGTACGATTTTTTTATAATTTTAATTTAATTAAATTCTTATAAATTTAAATTTTGTTTATAAAACATCCATTATTACCTAATTTAAATTTTGTTTATAAAACATCCATTATTACCTAATTTAAATGGAAGTCAATAGATATGTCTACAAAATGAAAGGTAGAACTTTCTTTTAAAGGTAAAAACAACTATTTTTTTATAATACATTTTCTGCAATCTTAAATACAAAACAATGTTCTATTTAAAATAGTTTCGAATATAGTCCAAAACTCTTTTGAAAATCTTCTCACAATCAATTAATAATGTATTTTATGTTCCTTAACTTGTGCTCAATTTGTATTATTCCCAATAACTTTGTCATAAACTTATTTATACACTAAATTATACTTAACATTGCTTAGTGCTTTGCATATTCACTGTATCGTGTGGGCACTGTAGCAAAAAAAAATAAGCAAGAACTGGTAAAGATTGCTAGAGAAGAACCTATAAAAAATATATTTTATGGTTCCGCTTGCTTCTTGCTGTTTTAGCGGAGGCTGACTCGTTGGTTTCTTAATTTCATCGCGGCATCATTTAGTGACAAAAATTGTCTTCTTTTTATGATGATACCCTACCCTCCCCTCTCTCTTTCCCGCTTTATTGTCCACAAATTTACGATTATAGTCAAAGGCAGCAGCAGGTTGAGTTTCATTTCATTTCGTTTCATTTCATTAGGTTTCTTTTTTTCCTCACTTGACTGCGGCATCTAAATGTTCATAATTTGAAATTAGAGAAATGTGAAATAAGAAACCGCAGGCATAATCAAATAATTAAATGCTTATAAATTGCCGAAACGTGATCGGGGAAAACGCAACTTGAAATATTATGATTTAATCGAGGACATGTGCTTATGGTTAAGCGTAATTGGGCGGAACTTTCAGATAATAAACATGTGTTTAAGAAATTGATTGTACCTGTCTAAGATTTAATAGAGTCTATGGATCAGAATAGTTAATTATGGAATCAATTATTTAACCATTTTAAGTTAATGGATATTCTTTTATGTTTTAAGAGTAGAGTTTAATGACTATAATTATGTTTTTGCCAAGATACTACCTACTAGATACTTGGCTGTTTAATAATATTAGTAAAAATATCTGTTAAAAGTTAAATAATTACAAATAACTTTGACTAAGTATTAGCTTCTTCGATTTAAAACTTTGCCCCCCTATCAGGGAAGTGTCCTTATCTCAAATATAACTTATTTCTGGCTTTTATAATTTCCCCTCAAGTCATCCACTTGAACTCTTACAACATTCAAAGTTATTGATAAGCATGGCCCAGACTAGATAACGCTTGGAAGCTGATCCCAGTCAGAGATTATATTTAATGGTTCTCTCTATATATATTTATATATACTCTCTCTTATTTTTTTCCAACTACAACACATCAATGTGCTGTTGAGTCTGTAATAACAGATAAAACAAATATAAATTCCAACGCTTGCCACCTGGCAAACAAGAGACTTAATTGTCAAGACTGTTCAGAGTTACAGCCACACTATATATATAGTATAATATATATGATAGATGGTGGGTAGAAGCCACACACAAGAGAGACGACTGGGTTTATTTAGAGTTCCAACGACAACAGAGAGATATATGACACGTACGAGGAGAGTGCTGGAGGGAATATAGGGATCGTAAAACCGTTTACAGGGCTTTTAAATTTTACTGTTTCTTGGCATATAGAAGGGTATTGTTTCTTGGGGGTTTCTGGCTCTGGCAGGGGTTAATCTAATCAGGAAAACGAAAAATGCGTTAGTCTCGGTCTGGTCTGGTCGAAACCAACACGATCCCCGAGAGAGGCGGAACGACCAACGTAACCAGAACGAATATAACACCTGTTGATGAACTTAGCAGCGGCTCTAATGAAATGTGCACACCTTGCCTCACCAGCTCCTCTACTCCCTCCTTGGTGTAAGTTTCCCCCTCGCCCCTGCTGTTGTCAGGTCGTAAACTTAACCCATTCGGTCTCATTTTCAATAAAAGACTGCATAAATCAATTAAAGCCACGGGAGACCTACTCTGGCCCTTCTTCCACCCCTTTGAATAATGCATAACTGGTTAATCCAATGCCTTGCCATTACCCCATCAGTACATTAGTAATATACTCCCGATTAGAGTTCGTGGTAATCCAAATGGGAGCGGCCACGTAATGAATCAATTCTTATAATTGAGTCCATCAAAGAGCTTTCACTGTGTGAAGTCAAGTGCCTGCGCCTAGGTGTACTTGTTGTATTTATTTTAGTATTCCCAATAATTCAATATCCCCCTGTAGTTATTTCTAGAATTCTGCCATTTCATAATTCCCTTGAACGGTCAAATAAATGCCTTCAAACTGCCAAGTCAGCAATCGTGTGACAATTTCACAAGCAACAACTAATTGCGGGCGTGTGTGGTGTGTTGGCCAATCTACAATTTAAATCGGGCAATATATAGAGGGTCCAGTTCCCAGATAGGGAAACACTTCAGAGGCCGTCCCAATGGCGCTGAAAGAGAGTAGTGCCGGGTGGTTATGTATCGATGGTGCGAGTGTTAATCGGAATAGTTCCCCCTATTCCACATGGCGCTCCAGAAGATAATGTCCACCACATGGAGTCATACCCAAGCCAACACGAAAAGTCCCTGCTTGAAAATTAAGGAGAGAATAAGCCAAAGATTTTATATAATTGTTATTTTCTACCAATTTATTAGCACAACTTTATATCTATGTAACTTGTGTAAACTTGTTCTTATATTTTCTAGCATATTGATCTGAGGAACCTCCTAGAAACCTATAAAATTCCAATATTACTTAAATCCTTGACATAAACTTTGGATCAAATATATAATACTCTTTAAAAGAGTATACAAAAAACCAATAACTATCAATTCAAAAGCATACAATAGCAAAACCATTTCAGGCAGCCAACTTCGATCATCGATTCTGTCAGTGGCCAGGGGCAAAAATTTTGAAATTAATTTCATATGGCTGCATATCTCACCTTCGACATCTGATTTTGTGTGTGTGTTTATGGGAAAAGTTGAGTCTTGGCCCACAGAGATTTCATTAGTAATTATTTGTAACTGATTGATAAAAACCAATCAAACCAATTTCCTTAAGTCTAATCAGTATAAAGAATTCTAGGAATATATTTGGGGAAAATCGGAAGAAGAAAATTTCTATTCTCACTACCAAATATCATGGCATTTAAGTACCTCATATATGTATATATGGAATATATGGAGAGCTGCTACTATATCTAATCGGAACGTAAGGCGTAGAGTATCTAATCAAGAGCGATCCACAAGTGCGTTGACAGGGTATCTAATCGTGGCGGACTATGGAGATACTAAACGTGGACAGTCCCAAAACCCGTTCCATATAGAAGTTTTTTCCCCAGTGGATTAGGTTACTCGTAAGAAATGGAAACTGATTTTGGGTTGTACATATATCAAAAGAAATATATAAATAGATGGAAATAATGCTTTTATGTTTCTATATAACCTATAATATAATCTGTAAACCTTACCTAATAGTGTACCAATAAATAAATACTTTTATGCATATATATATCAATCTTTTCCTATATATTTCTGACCACGATCATATCTCAGCTCAGCAACATACAAAGGGTATAGGAAGGAAAAGATTGTGTCTGGTGGGGGCACTGGAAATGAGCTCAAATCAAAATATTGAGCATGATTTATAAATTACGGACTGTAATATAATATGCCCTGACACGATAATAAAAAAAAGGGAGAAACCAAAGAAAGGCGATGAACTGCACCGATACAGACTGTGGGTTAAAGAGGGGTTCAATGAATGGGCGTAAATCAATTAAAGACTAACAAAGCAATCAAGATAGATTAATAATGTCGAAGACGAAGTCTCGGTAGGGTCATGAATGACTTATGCCAAGTCATGCAGTGTCAATCGGTGAATTGATTGTGTCACACTTAAGGGGAAATTACCGAAAATGCATTCGAAGTTCGAACATCATCATCATTTCTCACTTTTCAGCCTAATGAACTTACCATGTCGCTGAATGTCCAAAGAAGATCGCAGTAACTGGAGTGAACTGAAAACGTGAAAGCATATCTTTGGTTTGCCTTTATTTTTTGTACTCTGTTTTGTGCATTAATTAGTTAGACACTAATTTCCAATTCCGATTTCAGTCATGCAAATGTTAATTGACCACTTAACTTAAAACTTCATAATGATCGTTAATAATCGCTCGAAAGGAGGGAGCGCGGAGCAGCGACAACTGTAACCAAAAGAACAGGTTCAAGACCTTAACTAGCCGCCGTCCAAAAAAGCTCGTAAAAGATACAGATGCTGCAGCCCAATGCCAATGCCCACATGGTGGATTCACCTCTCCGAGAGGGTCTCTGCTGAAGATGCGATGCGATCGTGTGAAACCGAATGGACCAGAGGAGCCTGAGGCCTGTAACTGTGCTTAAACGATCTTCTCAACTAACTCATTTAATATACCTTTAGACCTCATGGTTGAAGCTTTGAAGTTTAATATTTTGTAAGCATTATGTAAAATATATAAAACATGTTTTAGGCTTTTAGATTAAGTAGTATGTGGTGTATTTTACCAATAATCTATATTGTGAACTCTTAAAAGAATATATTTAAAACACGTTTAACCCAAGCTTGACTTCAAACTAAAATATAAAAGATGTTTAAGCTTATGTTTAATGAATAGAAAAGGTTTTATAAAACTATATGGCTGGTAATCCTTACGGTTATTAACAACTCTCATAAAAGAGAGTTCTTCCAATTAAATGCACTTTAATGGCTTTGATTTCCCTTTTTTTATACTTTTAGTTAGGGAATTCAATTAGGCGTGGCCTTTCCGAATTCCCCACACAGTTATCTAAATTGATCTGGACCGCCATAGCCGGGGGTTTGGGTAACTGGAAGTGCAAGCTCATGGCTCATAATCAAGGGCAATGAAAGCTATTTCCTGTTGGCCCAACTTGATTGCATTGATTGCACGGGAAGGGGTCGAGAAGGAGGAGATGTGTCGATGTCGACTCGTGCCGGCACATAACAATGCCGCCAGTAGAGGGTCTCCTTAAGTCATCCAGCTAACAGCTCCCAGTTGCCGTTTTCCGTTTCCCAGTTACCAGTTACCATTAACCAATTCCAGTTCTTAGTTCCCCAGTTTGGTAGAGGCTAGCGAAACTAACAGAGCGCCTCTTGGCCACAGGTAATTGAACGCTGGCCCCAAACTCCAACCACTTCCACCTGAGCTACTGTGCACGCCTGCTCTTTAGCAGAGAACACAGAAAGAAATGATTGAATCATAGTGAATTGTATTTAATAGATATGGGGATATGTCATTAATCATTACCAATCAACTAGTTAACAACATTTTGTTGCATTTTGGCTTTTGTAAACAAAACACTTTTATTAAGTTGTTATTATATTTTGTGGTTTTCAAATGAAATATATATTAAACTAACTCAGTATTTAGTTAATAGCAATCAATTACGTGAACGCAAGTCCAACAGCACCTGGGAAAAGGTTCTGCAGTGGATATGTAGTCAACTGAGCATTGTGCGAAGGGCAATGGTATCTGGCAACTAATAAAGAAAACACAAAGGATTACATAATCATTAATAAATACTTAAGATTAAATTACTCACTACATAATGAGGGCTTTGCCATCTCGTCCTTCACAACGTATAACACCGCACGTGTTATTGTCCTGGACGAATTGTCCTACTTGCAGTTGCTCACCTTTGGCCGTTAGACAGCCATTAGCTAAAAAAGAGTTTAATGTCTCAAGTTTTGAATCTGGCATCTGAGGTTTATTCTACTTAAATGTACCGCCTTTTTTGAACTGAGCCTTATACACTAGGGGCCTTGAATAGGACACCCACAAGGCTACCATCAGTATCCACAACAAGAAGTGCATTTCAAGTGTGGAAATATAACTGCCGGAGCTCAGGACTTGGAGGCCCCTTATAAGCCCTTGGGAGTGTCTGTCATCCGATCTGAAAGCATTGCCACCTGTCAACTTTATTAAGGATTTTAAGAATTTTTTAACGATTAAAAACTGGTGTGTTCCAGCAGCAATTCCCATAAATTTTACTTTTACAAATAGATTCAGAACACATTTTTTGAATAACTTCTGTAAATTTTAAGCAGCAATGTAAAATGCAATTTTTTGCACACCTAATTCCCAGTATTTTGAAGTATTTATAATATTTTAACATCTCTTTAAGTAAAGTTTTTACTGCATCAGTTAGCAATAACATGCAGGTCTGGTCTGAATTGTCAGTATCATGCAAAAGAAAAGGAAAACATACTTTGAACTGCAATTTGCATTTGTTAAGCAATAAATGTGTACATACATTTATGTATTGGGGCCATTTTAGCGCCACCTGAAACTAATCGGCTTCATCCGCTCTGTAAGGTAATTAAAAAATATAGAAAAATAGGTAAGTTTTTATCAGCCCGGTTATATTATTCGGCCACACATAATTTGTATTTCCTTGATAAAAAGAAACTAGATCAATTTTAACCATTAGTTTTAAAAGGAAGTTATTTTATATTAGGTTTGTATCGTTAAAGACACATATTTAAGCTGGCCTCAACTATTACCAATTTGTATCTTAACCCTATAAAATGCTAGACAAGAGATACTTTTCCCCTTTTTGCCAGCAAAGCTCAGTGAGCAATTAGTCCGCTAAGAAAATAAGCTGTCTATGGAGGCTGGTCCCAAAGGCATTATGAATATGCATGGACAACTGCTTTATAAGTGAACTCTACGCCCCTTAGTATATGGCAACCACCATAGCATATGGTATATATTATATAGTATAGCTGCCGCCTAACAGCCATCAACTGTGGCTATGTACGTATACGTTTAACACGTAAAAAATTATATAAATTTGCATAGAAATTGCAATGAACCTTAACTCGAATGTGGAAGAACATCTAGGCAACAGGTTAATGGTAACACTAGTCAGCTCGGTGTATATAGATTATTAATATAAACTATAGATACTAAGAGATGATAAAATATTAATATATGTTCTTAACATTTTTGTACTTGTTTTGATAGACTTCAATTGGTTATTTTGGCAAAGAAAACTCTATTCCTCTTGCTGTCTAGTGTAAGCCATTAAAAAGTAGTCACTGCTTTTAGTTTTTGTTGTTGCATTTTTTTGTAATTATTAGCATGCCAGTTGTTGTTGCTGTCAGCAGCAGACTTTTGAACCCGCTGCTCACAAGTGTAAATTAAATGGGAAATAAAACCCGAGAGAGAGAGAAAGGTTGAGAAATTAAGCAAAAATTTGTTCACCAGCTACTGTTGGTTAGTGTATATATACACAAATATGTATATATATATTTGATCCTAACAACCGAATTGTATTTTTTTTCTTTTATATACGAGTATTTTTCGCCTGTTATTTATAGCGCAAAAATTCTGTAGCAAGTTTGCCGCCGCGCTTAGGCCAAAGGAGTCTTCAGCATTCAGTCTCTGGTGTCTCCAGTCCAGAACCAAACCCAGTCCAGATCCAAGTCAAAGTCACAGCAAGCAGCGAACAGCAACAGAGTTATTAATGCTTGGAATTTTCATAATCGAAACGAGTTTTCAAGAGCCAGGCAGTCGGCAGTCAAGCAAGGAAGCACGCGCGTCTTGGCCAGACTCAAACACAGACTCGCTCTCCTCTGGCTTTAATAACCAACGCCTCGCCCTCCCCTCGCAAATCGGGGCAGGTTGTAGAGTTATGGCCATGGCAAGACAAGCACACGCCTTGCGCGAACAGGTGAAGCGTTTAACTGGTGGAACTTCGAGGCTCCCAGCTCAGAGCTCCGACCTCCAGCTCCTACTCCTCTCCAGCGGACATGGCATGGCATGGTGCAAAGAAAAATAACACACAAATTGCCCAGCAAAGTTGGCATTTGCTCAAATCAAAATTATGAAAATATTTTCCATATTTTAAAAGACACAAAAATGTTATTTCACTGAAATAATTTCAGACATTGATTGGGTTCATACATTTTTTATATTTTTCAAAAGATACTTTAGTGTAAAAATATATGAAATGAAACAAAAGATTATGGAATATATTTACATTATATTGTGTTTTGTATATGTCAATTTATGTTTATTATCTAGGATTGTTAAGTCCTTAATAATACTTTTAGATTTAACCTATATGTATTTTAAATGCTTACCATTTTTGGTTCTGGTAAGCTACGTTTTGTACATTTAAAGTCTCATCTTTCTATCTCTATACCATTTGATAATTATTTTGTATTATTTTATTTTGAAACATTAACTAAAAGTAATTTCTCTGTGTGGAAGTCTGACTCCTCCATTTGGGGTCTCCAATTGGCCTAAGTGGCCCCTAGAGTTGGACTTTGTGCACATGACAAGCAGCTGTTTGCTGCTGCATAGTGAAAAGGCTATGATCTAATCACTTATTTCAGAGATTTGTGTGATTTTTTTTTTTTTTTTTATATTTTGCTATTTAAAAAATCAATTAAATCTGATTCAAATGATAATGAATAATTTAAAGGAAAGAGCAAAATAACACCAAGCCTAATCCTAAAACCCTTGACTTATTGACTTGACTATTTAATCTTCTTCTGACCTTAGTTTAAATCACAAATTAGGAAATAATTTAATCAATTTGTATAGCAAATATATAAACCCATCTGTGTAGACTTTGTTGTTAAACTATGATCATAAAATCTTAGATTTAGTATCAATATCCTAGAAGAGCCATCATGGGAATGCGTGTGTCCCCCTAACCAATGGTGGAAAGCGAGAAACCCAGATCCGCTCCAGGAATAGCATTGACTTATGCAAATGCTGGACAATCGCTTCCATCGCGTTGCATGCAGACCTTACCTGTGCCAGTGCCATCGCCCATGGCCCTGGCCGTGGCATTGCAGTTGCGAGTTGCAAGTTGCAAGTTGCGGGTTGCAGGTAGCCGGCCAAATGAATGAACGAGCAACCTGCTGCTGCTGCTGTTGGATGGCCAGGTAAAAGTTGGCAAAGGCTGTAATTTGCTTAAAAGCAGCGAACAAATAAAGGGTTTCAATGGCTCCCCAACTCCCAGCGACAGACGGAGATAATGAATTGCAGAGGGGGATTCGGGATCGGGTTTGAGTTCGGGTTCTTTGGCTGTCTTCTTATGACGCCGGACGACAGCTGCCTGCCGGGGCAGCTCTTGAGTTCATGTCAGTCTATGACTAGGATCATACAAAGTTTTAATTAAGAGTTTTGTTGGAAGTGGAGCCATAGCCATATTTAATTAGGACACATTTAGGAATATTCTTTAGGGTTTTTTTTTTGTATCTAGAAAATATGTAAATGTTTGTGACTCATATGGCTTTTATTGATTAATAGAATTTATGGGCCATAAATTCAATTTAAGTTTACCTGGAAATTAATTTCTTTCTTAAAATTCCCTATAATATATACAATTCTAATGATATGCTAATAAAATATACATTTTTATAGATATTTTCAACTAGTTTTGAGGTACCTAGAGAAAACACTATTTAGTTATAATAAATGATAGAAAAAAAATAAGTCGGACAGGTCGGATCGAACAAATATATCATATAGCTGCCATATTTCTATCTTCCTGTCTCTCTTTTACTCTATTTCTTTTTTTTTTTGCCACTGTCTCTAAGTCTCTATTTCATTTACTCTCTCTTTCTCTCGCTCTCTCTCCCGCTCTCTCTCTTTCTAAATCTCTGTCTTCTTCAGTAAGTCTATCCCTCCCTGTGTAGCTCTAGAGATATCCCTTTCTCAAGAGATATCTATTTCTCTCCCGCGCTCTCTCGCTCACTTTCTCTATTCTCTCTCCTCGCAGACTATAAATACAGCCACTGCAGTCGCTCTGACCTCATTCTGTTCGTGGGCTGCCTGGTGTTTGCATCAACAGTGATTAGTGGTAGTGATAGTGATTGCCCCAAAAATATCACCTGACGAATGGGATACATCTGGATAACTACGAATTGAAGTCATTAAGATAACTTTGGTAAGTCTTAGCCAAGACATTTTTATCATGTATTAAAATGCTATTGGAGGTCTCAATCATAAGTCTAAGATAAGCTTATCTATTAATTCCCTTATTACCATGGACACCATTACTAAATTATCAACTCTACTTTGATATTTCGAAACCGACTATTTTATGATTTCACTTGACCCCCAGCAGAGAAACTAAAAATGTAAAAAACTCAACTAAAAACTGATAAGGAGTTCCGCCAAAATTGGAAATCAATTGGGACCCACACACACACACACAGAGACCGCAGCCAAACCAAAATCCATTTAAATATCAAAAGTGGGGAACTGCTGCTGCTCCTGCTGATAAATGCCTGCAGGGGCTGCCAAGCGCGACTCCGATAAAGCAAATGTAGAAACCTAAGCCCCAAACCCCAAACTGAAAACCAAACAGAAATTGAAACCCAAACGATGCGAGGAAGAGGGGACTAGCAATTCCGTTTGGCTTATCGGAGTTGGAGCCAGGAATTTATTCATAAGCATTAATATTCCGGGACTTGGAAGAACAACAGGTTCAGTCCGAATCACCGAAGTTCACTTGAACTCCAGTTCACGCAACAATCTTGCGACTGCCCAAGAGTTGGCTCTGACTCTGGCTCTGGAAATTGTTTAAGTATTTATTAAATTGCCCGGCTCTCCCAAGTGGCCGGCAGACGATGGCCAATCTGCACGATAATCATGGGGTGTGAAAAATTTATGAACGCCGCCCCGCACAGTCGTAGCTGCGCACGCGCAAAATGAGTATGAAAAATCCCAAACCAAAAAGTCCAGTGAATCCCAACCGAAGCGCCGCAGAATCTGACAGCATAATGAATATATATGAATCTGCATTAGGGTGGGATGATTTGTATAACCATGTGGAGTAGGAAAAATAAAAAATCCCC